TTTACGTTTGTAAAGAAAACCTCCATTTGTAAAGTTATCTTTTTCCCTGTACCAGGAAGAAGGAGGGGATGGCCTTACCTAGAAACTCATCAGAATGGAAGGTGGAAGGCAAAGACTTAAATCTGCATGATAAACTTACCCATTGTTAACTATGCTGTTTAGGTAATATGCTATCTGACGCCCACTAGGTTCCTATAGGTAACATGCCCCTGGAGCTGGGGTCACCATGGTAATGGGTATTTGAGCTATTTCTTTCAGGAACTGAACCCCTTGTCCACTTTAGGCCAGATTGAGACCACCAACCCATCAACTGGGCCCTTTTGACGGCAAGAGGTTGGAACTCCACCCTCAGGGCAGGCTAACGCCACCGCCATTCTGTGAACTACTAAGAGGCATGAAGCCTGACTACACTTGCGCAGATCATCAATTACTTCATCTCCCCTCACCTCCAATCATTTCAGACCACCTTGCCCCCTTCCCCATAAATACCCCTGAGTCCCTATTTTCGGGGAGGCAGATTTGAGACTTGTTCTCCCGTTTTCCTTACTTGGCTGCCTTGTGATTAAACCTTCTCTCTCTGCAACTCATTGTCTCAGTGATGGCTTTCTGGGTGGCAGGCAAAAATGGACCCGGTGCGGTAATACCACAAGTACCAAAAAGAGCCAATTCAGGGGCCGACCCAGTAGTGTAGTGGTTAAGTTCGCGTGCTTCGCTTCCGCAGCCCAGGGTTTGCAGGTTCGAATCCTGGGCACAGACCTAGGCACCACTCATCAAGCCACGTGTGGTGGCATCCCATATACAAAATAGAGGTAGATGGGCACAGATGTCAGCTCAGGGCCAATCTTCCTCAGCAAAAAGAGGAGGACTGGCAACAGATGTTAGCTCAGAGCCAATCTTCCTCACACGAAAAAAACAATAACTAAAAAAAAGAGCCAATTCAGGCTGCCATTTGGTGATAGCATTATTCACAGGTGAAAGTGAGGGAGGCCAGATTACAGATGCGCAGACTAGTAGACATTCTAAAAAACCAGGGGCCATAGCACACATAGTGTGTTTGAAGGGCACCAGGAATGTTGCCTATTTTAAATAACTACCTCTACCCCACTGGCTTACCAGAGCACTTGAAAAGTATTAATCAGAAAACCTAACGTTTAGGTTAGGCTTTTATATTTCTAGGCTACTCCACATTAAAACATAAATAGCCATGGGAAAGTAATAGACTAGGTCTCTGACACATCAGATTTTGCCATTATAACACTAAACAGACATCAAAGCCCTGCAAGGATAGGACAGGTAAGTACCACTGGTGTATAAGGGGTAGAAGAAAAGTATGGTTTACAAAGCATTGCCTAGAGGAAATTCCTGCCCTGGGGAAAACTGGGCATACAGAGAGGAACATGAAAGCCCTAGGCCCTGGGAAAAATGGAAGACGACACAGAGTTAGAGAAAACGGAAAAGGGGAAACTCAAAAACAAATTAACCACTTCACAATTTGGTTTCCTGCTGGCTGGGATGGTCAACTCCCAAAGGTATAATCCCAGAGCAGCCAGCAGAGTATGAAGCAATCCTGAATACCAGCTCTATCTTTCGTTACCAGAAAGTCTGGGAAAAGCAGGAAAACAATCTCTAAGACCACTGATTGCCAGTAGAATATATCAAGTACAGCACTGGAGATTTCTAAACTTTTCTGTCCCTTCACCCACATTCCCCACACTACCCCACATCAGGTGAAAAACTGATGGGGAAGATAAGGAGAGGCATGCAGAGGGGAAAATGGACTTGCATAGTTTGCAAACGTTCCCCAAATGGTTCTGACATGTATCTTTCCTCTACAGCGACAAGCTCCTTCCTCCACCTAAGTCTAATTAGACCCCAGTTCCACCAAAATGATAAGCAGACCCAGCATACTATCTTTCCTTTCCAAAGGAGTTCTTAAAATTTTTATGTTTGAACTGATACATGATTTTGATTGCCACCTAGTGGAAGAAATAGAATTAACCACAAGCTAAATAGGATAAGCAATCTAAAAGTATCAAACAGTGTTTTCTATGCTCTGACAGCTGAAGATAGTTTCCCGAAGTGGTTATATGTAAGATGATTTTAGGTAGCAGAAGGATGAATGCTATTTTAATTACCTGGTATTTACTGCAATGCATATTAGGAAAAAGTATAAACAATACTTCAAATCCATCATTTCACAAATATGTGAAGATGAGGCTAAATTAACCCTAATTTTTAATAGTTAATACAATTTTTAAAAAATATATTAAATTATAATATTACACTGGTGGTAATGGGATATCACCAAAGTCATACGGTGACTCTAAAATGACTGAAGTTTTGGAAATAGTTGTCTAAGCTAGTTCTTCCAATGGAAGATACTTTTCCCTCAGTGTGTCTGAGTTTTATTTATGTATATAAAGTGAAGTAACACACATTTTAATAGAAATAACAATGTTTTAAGGTACTCCTACTTTTTTCCTCATCGAAAAAAGTTTGTTTTCTTAAATAGAAATTATTTCATAAGCAAATTAGCGTTCAATATTGCTAAGTTTCTATAAATATTTGCCTTCCTTAAAACATGCTTACCTAAGTAGTTATCTCGTGATTGTAAATAGTTGATTCCCTTTCATTGTGACAAGTTTCATTATAGAAAATATATTTCCATTTAATCTACACGGTTAAACAAATTCTCAGAGAACTGTTTGAACTCCTGCCAACTTATTGCAATGGAATGCAATTTAATGACCTATGTTCTGTTGTCACAGTAGTCAATTATTTATCATAGAATTTAGAAGTTTCAAGAAAATCCTGAGCATTCAATTAGCATTCATTAGTTCTTGTATTCACTGATATTGGAACATACAAGTGAAAATTACAAGATTCATTTCATTATATTCTCTGATGGCCACTTTAAATGACAATGATACATTTCTCATGTGATAAATTTCACACTGCCACCTCCTGTAAGAAAGACTAAAAAATTAAATATCTGGAAAACAGAAACAGGATTATCAAGACTAGTTTAAACCAATCCTCCTTCATCTCCTGGATTGGAACCTACTGTGACGCTTAACAAAACGAGCATTTTGTTGGGAAGGAATAGGTGGGGTTGTTGAATAGTTGTTGGGTATTTACCTAACAGTATCTGCCACATCTCCCACCTCAAGCATTCAGTTTCCCTCTGAGGAGGCAATCACTTACAATTCCTATTTATTCCCCCGCTCATTTATACATGTTGTATTATATAGAATTTATTGATTTATTTTTACCCAAATGGTGGTATACTATACACACTACTCTGCACTTGTTATTTTTTCACATAACAAAATAAGTTGAAGATTTCTTCCATTTTGATATGTAATAAAGCCACTTCCTTCCTTTTAATGGTTAAAAAATATTCCATTGTGTCAATGTGCCATAATTTATTTATCCAGTCCTGTAAGAAGAGACATTTTGGTTGCTTTCAATCTTTTGCTATTATAAAAAATACTGCATTAAATAACCTTGTACATATATTATTTGACATTGCAAATTAAATCTTAGAAATGAAATTGCTGGGCAATGTACATTTTGGAATTGCTGCTGGCGTTTTTTTTTCAGGATCAGGATCACATGAAATTTATGGATTAAAATTTAAAGAGCATGACATTTTATTTTAGAGTCTTCCCACTGAGAGTAGAATATGCCTTTTTGTTACACGTCATATTTTACAAATTCTAATATGCACATTTGAACAATTCTAAAATATGGATGCATCTCATAATCCAGGACATCTTTTAATCACTGTCAGCCAGATGGCAGACATGACAGTAAATATTCCTGGTGGTATGACACGTTAACTGCCATCTGGTCATTTCAGTCATCAAACTATTTAAGAACCATTTGAGTAAGAAATATGAGCCACGGTGTTGTTAGAAAACCTTCTGTGACACCTTCTGGTAAGACCAGGAAAGTGCAAGAATCAAAACTAAAAGAAAGTGTCAGTGATTTGGTAGAAACTCCTTTCAAGAAATGCAACACTATCAGTGCTCTTAATGGTACGAAGGACAATTTTGTGTGTGGGAAAAAGCATCGATTTTGATGACTCCAAGTCAAAAAGTGACTCAGAAGAATCAGATTCTAAATATGAAGACTCAGATTACTAATATCTTAACTGATATATTGTTTATATTTTCATTTTTATAATTGCACAAGAGATATATGATAAAATACCAAATAAGTCCAAGAGTTCTTTCAATAAGCACACAAAAAATTTTCTAAGTCCTAAGAGATGATTGCATCATAGGTACTGGCAGCAATTTATCTTAGTGTTACATTAAAAAAAAAACAGTGCAACTTACAATCTGCATCTCAGATTTGAAGAAATATTCTAAATCTTATTTTAGGTTCCTCAGTAGTATTTGTAAGTTTCTCTCATACAGATTTTGAACATTCTTAAAGCTATTTCTGTGTATTTTATCTTTTCTTCCATTATATTTTCTCATCAGAATACTACTTATTTTTGCCTAGTTTGTAAATAGCCACTTTACTGAATTCTTTTACTATTTATAATAATTTTTCAGTGGATTCTTTTGGGTTTTCCAGGTATACAATGAAATAAATTTTAAACTCAAATGATCTTAAACTATCTGCTGGAATTTAGGCTCAGTGAAGGTTAAGGGCTGTGTATTATTTTTACTGTTCTATCCCCAGCACCTAGCACATTACCTTGCACAAATCAATATACATTTATTAATAAATGAGTTATGTGAATGCATCTTACCTCATAAAACTTACCCCAACCCCTCCCCTGACAGAGATGTTGAGTTTAGTCAAAAAAGTCAAATATAAACGAGGAAACAGTATCCATATTTATTCCCTCCCACAAACAAACATACAGATCCTGTAAGAGATTGGATATTTTATAATCAAAGCTAAATATGTTTGGTTATAATTAGTTCTATTTTAGTAATTAAAAACCCTAATTATGAAATTAGTGTTTTATTTTAAACACTTACCTTTTGGATCTTAGATCTGATGAATCAAACTGGATATTCATAGGTCCAGGATTTATTTCATGATCTACCTCAGGGATGAGAAGATGCCTAGAATCACTACCCATGTTTGCCATTTTTCTCAGACTCTAAGCATTGAAGAAGTCAGTCCTACATAAATCAGAAAAGATAAATAATTTAAAGTTTAATTAAAATATTATTTTACTATTAATAAGTAATATATTTGCATGCATAAGAAATTAGAAAAATATGGGAATTTGCTGAAAATATCTTAATGAGGTATATGCCTAAAATATTTATTTTATCAGAAACTTGCTAAGTTGAAATAATTTGTAAAGGTACATGCACCCCTGTGTTCATTGCAGTGTTATTCACAATAGCCAAGACTTGGAAGCAACCTAAGTGCCCATCAAGGGACGAATGGATAAAGAAGCTGTGGTATATATACACAATGGAATACTACTCAGCCATAAGAAACAATGAAATCCAGCCATTTGTGACAACATGGATGGACATTGAGGGTATAATGCAAAGTGAAATAAGTCAGAGGGAGAAGGTCAAATACCACATGATTTCCTTCATTAAGTAGTAGATAATAACAACAATAAACAAACACATAGAGACAGAGATCGGATTGGTGGTTACCGGGGGGAAGGGGGGAGGGAGGAGGGTGAAAGGGATAATTTGGTACATGTGTGGTGATGGGTTGTAATTAGTATTTTGGTGGTGAACATTATGTAATCTATGCAGAAACAGAAGTATAATGAAGTACACCTGAAATTTTTACAATGTTATAAACGAATGTTACTGCAATAAACAAAAAATTAAAAAAAAAAAAAGAAATGGAGTTACTGCTTATTTTTCAGCTTGATAAAAAATAAGTGTGGTAATCCATTTCTAGTAATAAAACAGATTAGGCTATTTGGACCCACTTTCCTGCAGAAAACAACTAAAAATACTGGATAAAATATAAAAAACATCTTTTGAAAAGCATCAACAATAGTGAGAAAAATCAGGCCATTTGTAGGTGAAGTTAAGGACCTAGAGAGGTAAATAGCTCAAGGAAGTTGCTTCTGCTCTGAGGGTATTTGCTGTACCAGGAGAAACTGGGCTGAAGATTTCAAGGCTTTGTGAAGTATTAGTGAAATAGAAGACAAAACCTGGGATTTGCCCAAAGTAAGGAACGATTGTAATAGGAAATCATCCCCCCTCCCTACCTCCCACAATACAGCTGGGACTACAAAGAGCTTTACCATCAGATTAGGGGTTAACAAGAAGTAAAACTGCCTCACTCCCTCACAAGGGAACTACAAACAAGTTTTTTGACACTGACCACAACTAGTGTGTGTGTGTGTGTGTGCGCGTGCGCACGAGGGGAAATGTTATATACCACAAACTTCACCTCATGTGGATTTGCAAGGTGGTCAAGGAACTCTTTTTAAAGCTGTGAATATAACTTAAGGTTAACTTGTTTGGCAGGGCCTCTAGGCAACTGGCAGAAGCAAATGTAAATCTTTTCTCTGACGACACACCTTCGTCCTAGGCCTCAAAGAAGACTTGCTAAAAATCTTTCAAGGATTTTTAGTACACAGTCAAAAGCAACCTAGCATGTAAGGAAATAAAGTACTATTAGTGAGAATCAGAAGAAACAACAGGAGAAATAGACCCACAAGGACTTCAACTATAGGATTTACCCAAATGAGATTATAAAACAATTATGCTTCCTATGTTTAAATAAATGAAGGAAAAAGTGGACATTTTCAAAAAGTAACTTCACATGTTTGAAAAAGACCAGAGTAAATTTTTAAGCCAAATAAATATATATATATATTTTAAAATTTAAAATTTTAAATTTAAAGTTTAAAAATTGGGTTAAAAGTTGAATAGAAAATTAATGAACTAGAAGATCAATCAGAAGAAACTATCCAGAATGTAGCAGAGACAAGAAAAAAGGAGAAGGGCCACCCTAGTGACACAGCAGTTAAGTTTGTGCACTCCGCTTCAGCGGCCCAGAATTTGCTGGTTCAGATCCTGGGCGCAGACCTATGCACCGCTCATCAAGCCATGCTGAGGCAGTGCCCCACATAGAGCAACTAGAGGGACGTACAGCTATGACATACAACTATCTACTGGGGCTTTGGGGAGAGAAAAAAAAAAAAGGAAAAAAGAAGGAAGATTGGCAACAGATGTTAGCTCAGGGTTGATAAAAAAATGGTTGATTAAAAAAAAAGAAAAAAGAGAAAATAGGGAAGAGAGGTTAAGAGACAGGGGAGGGAGAATGAGAAGGTCTAACATGCATGTAATTGGAGAAGTAGACGGAGAGGAGATGGCAGAGGTAATATTTGAAGGGATAATGGCTGAGAATTTTCCAGAATTTATAAAAGATAATCTGCAGATTCAAGAAGTTTAATGAATTGAGGCAGAATTAATAAACAATATATTATAGGGTTGGAAAAAAAGAATTAAAATTCAGACCAAAGGGAAAAAAAGTCAAGCAAAGATCTTGGAATTAAAGTGTTCTAAGGTCCTTGTATTGTTCAGATGAACATTACACTTTGATGTGATTCACGTTGTATTTTAAAAGTAACTGCTAACATAATAGAAAAGAGTGTATAACTTAAAATCTAGGAGAGGAGGAAAAGAGAATGATAAAAAATAACTGACCTAGGGGCCAGCCCAGTGGCGTAGTGGTTAAGTTCGTGTGCTCCACTTTGGCAGCCTGGGGTTCGCTGGTTCAGATCCTGGGCACGGACCTAAGCACAGCTCATCAAGCCATGCTGAGGCAGCGTCCCACATAGAGCAACTAGAAGGATGTACAACTATGACACAGAACTATCTACTGGGCCTTTAGGAAGGAAAAAAAAAAGGAAAAAAAGGAGGAAGATTGGCAACAGATGTTACTCAGGGCCAATCTTCTTCTTCAAAAAAAAATTGACATAAAAAGGTAAGAAAGGAGAAAGAAAATATAAAAGAGGTAGGACAAATAGAAAGCATAAAATAGACATGATCTTCCCATTTTTCCTTAAACCCATGCTAATCAAGCTATCTTCCCCATCACTACGCAAAAACTGCTCTTGTTAGATCACCAATGACCTCCACACTGGTAAACCCAATGGTCATTTCTCAGTCTTTAACTTACTCGCCCGATCAGAAATGTTTGCCACAAGGGATTCCTCTCCTCCTTAATAAACTAGATTCACTAGGATTCTAGGTTTTCTCTATACCTATCTGGTCCTTTCTCTTTCTCTGTCTCTTTTACCGTTTGTTCCTTGTCTCCCAGACTGCTTAAAATTACAGAGTCCTAAGGTTCAGTCTTGGCCCTCTTCTCTATTTACTCTCAATTTCTAGGCAATGTTATCCAACCTCATGATTTTAATACCATCACTTACATTATACAATACAGTAGCTACTAGTCACATAAAGCTACTAAATTTATATTAATTAAAATTTTAAAAAAATTCAGTACCTGAGTCACACTAGCCACATTTGAAGTGCTCAATGGCCACACGTGGCTAGATGCTACCATACTTACCGCACAGTGCAGATATAAAACATTTCCACCATTGTATAAAGTTCTATTGGTCTAGACAATGACAACTGCCACATTAATATTTCTAGCCAAAACTTCTCTCCTGAACTTCAGACTTGCATATCCAACTGCCCACTTAATATCCTTTTTTATTGAGATTTAACTGACGTATAGCATTATATTAGTTTTAGATGCACGACATAATGATTTGATATATATGTATATATATATCCTTCTTAACATCTTTACTTGGATCTAATAGACAACTCAAACCTAAAACATCCAAAACTGAACTTTTGATTTTTTCCCAGAACTACCTGACCCATTGTTTTCCTGATTTCAGTTGATGACACTTATATCCTTCTAGTCCCTCAGGCCCAAATCCTTGGAATCGCCCATGACTTCTTTTTCTCAGTCTACATTCAATCCATCAAGAAATCTTGTTGGTTTTTCTTTCAAATATATAAAGAATCTGACCACCATCATTTGTTACCAAGATTTCTACAACAGATTTCTACAAGCTTCCTGCTTGTACCCTTATCCCCTTACAGTCCACTCTCTACAGAGCAAGCAGAGAGTTGCAGAGAGGTATAGTAAGGGATTTGGTCTTACCCAATTGGTTGTTACTTTGGGGGAAGTGTTATTAGCACCCAGTGGGTAGACACTAGTGATGCTACTAAACATCCTGCAATGCACAGGACAGCCTCCTATAACAAAGAACTATCCAGCCCAAAATGTCAATAGTTCTGAAGTTAAGAAACCTGCTCTAGAGGGGAAAATATGAGGTTGTGATACGGAAGGACAGGAGGGGACCTCATACGGTGATGGCAATATTCTATTTCTTCAACTTGATTCTGGTTACATGCCATTTGCTCTATAATTAATATACATATGTTTTATGCACTTTTCTGTATGGATGTTATATTTCACAATGAAAAAGCAACAATGGGGAACGCCATAAAATGAAATAAATATATTTTAACACTTAAAGGCAAGTGTTTTACCTTTATTCCTCACCCTGTGAGTTACTATTATCCTCATTTTACAGATACAGATATGGCACAGAGAAGTAATTGATTACAAAGTTAGTAAGTGGCAGAATTGGAAGCCAAACCTAGGCAGTGTAAGTCCAGAGCCTGTACTCTATGCTGTGCTGTCTCTCCTGTTCTTTGCCCTTTCTTTCTCTCTCTCGTTTACCTTTTACCTCCTTCTGTTTCTTGCTACAGCCCAGACTACCCGACAAGCATAGTTTTATTGTTGCTGTATTTGTTTAATGAAATCTTATGTCCATTGTTCTCATTTTTCTAAATATAGCATTTATGGCAGAGTAGAAAGAAAATGAGGTTTTTGAGTGAGCAATCCTGTATCTGCCACTCGCTACCTGTGTAGTTTAAGCCTAACTATTTAACCTCCGTGAGGCTATTCTCCTATCTGCAAAACTGAAATAATAATATTCACCTCACTGAGGTATTTCAGAATTAAATGAGATGATGCATATTATACTTAGTACTTTGTAATGAGAAAATAAATGTTCAAATGTACTGTTA